ACGGAGCTCAACGGCTCTAGCACTGTTGCCAACTCTCGCGAGACAAATAAGCAACCGCCGCTTCAAAAACAAGCCCAATATTATAATTTATTATCATCAATATTATTTATTATCAATTATGTATTAACAATAAATGAGCCCGCAGCATATTAAACAAACTACCCTTTTATCTGAAAAGCAAAAACATAAGTTATTTTACAAAAATCAGCAAACTGCAACAAAGCAGGAACAAAACTCATCTCCAATCACCTCTGAGCAGAATAGGATTGGACAGATGGAAAAGGAGAAAAACACGAGCTTCAAAGGGGAGCTGTAACATATTATAGCCTACTAAAATATTGGCTATTCGAACCAAATCTACTCTTAGTATTAGTATAGGCCTACTTGTTTTTTTTTTTTTTTGTTTTTTTTACAGCCTGTGATAATTAATACATTACAAAAACATTGTAAAAATAAAAAATTAGGATACCGTATAAAGGAAAAACGTCATCCCACTCCTCTACGTCTACTACTATCATCGCTTGGATTACAGCGTCACGCGCCTTCCTTTTGAACGTGATTTTTCTTCAATCCCTCATTGAAGAAAAATCACGTTCAAAAAGAAGGCGTGTGAGGAGGGGGCGGAATATTTGACAAATTATGCTACAGCGCTTATATTTTTGCACTGATTGGCTATTAACTGTGAGCAGACAGAGTGCCAGTCAATGCATTGGAGAATACAGTGAACATAAATGAAAAGAAACGAAGTTGCTTGTCAGGTTTTCCTAACAAGCAACCATATTTTTTAAAATAAACCCAAAAAAACACAACCCGCGACCCGGGATTTTTTCACGCAACTTTACAATAAAAGAAGCCCAAAGTCGCGTATAATACGCGGACTTGGCAACTCTGGGCTCTAGCACAAACTGTGATATAAACGAACGCTATTGGCTATTTTAAAAATATGTCCTACTTGATATGTCCCGCCGTTTTCCTGTTTCAGTTAAAATGACGTCAACACAGAGTAACGCTGCGTGTTTCTAAGCATTTCAGGGGACCTTTAACTAATGAAACACTATGGTGTTGAGCAGTTTCCAGCTGGTCTTGGTGTTCAGTAATTGGATGGCTATGAGGGTGTTTATATATAATGTTTATTTCGAGCAGGTGGCTGTTGATGCAGTCACTGCAAGCACACCACTGTTCCCAATGCCAGTCACAGCAGGCATCATACAAGTCAATGGCAGAACATCAACACAATATACAGCCTGCACACACTGAGCAGTGCAGATTTCTTTTTTCTTTTCTTTTCTTTTTTTAAATGTCTGCAAATAGGATGGGATTGAAAACAGCTTTCATTATTAACATCTTGCACCAACAATAAGTTTGACTTCAGTGTTTTCAGAATTTCATTATTTTTCTTTTTTTTTCTGGTATTAAAAAAGACAAAAGAAAAAAAACAAGCAAACATGACAATAAGAAAATGACAGAATGAGAACTTTAAAGTGGAGAAAACAAGTTTTAAAATGAAGATGAAGATTCACAGTGACAAACATCCAGCTATATACACAGAAGAACGGGGGGGCAGGGCCGTAACAACTCAATTAACACTGGATCGACAGACACCCAGTCCTTTGAAGCGATAAGCATGATAAAGCTTTTATAAAAGCCATTCCCATGCCAGACATCTGCGCTCTGTCCGCAGAGCAGACCGCAACATAAAGGGATATAACTCTGAACATCTGATGGACAAAGACCGGTCACATATCCTCTAAGCATTGTTTAAACATGAAAGACAAAATAAAAAGAACTAAAGCAAGGCACATACACGTTTTTAAAAAAAACATAACATTTGCTTAATATACAACTTATTTCATCTGAAGACATGGCAGTCAAAAAACGTATCACAAAAAGCTACCTTAAAAAAGAAAACTGGAGTTCTAAAAAAATGACCATTTACAATTCATTTAAAATACTTTGAGCCAAGAAGACACTTTAAACTTTTATCTTAAATATTAGCTGTTTCATCAACAAGCCCTCTTGATGCTTCATCATTAAATACTTGTTGAAAACATCTATAATAATCTCTGTTCATAACTTAAATATTACAAATATTCTTCTGAGAACCGGGGAAGGGATCAAGCATATATGGAGCTACTGAAAGTGTGTAAAGCATTGTGGGACCTACGCAACTACTTTTCTTGCTTGTGTCCCCTTCCTTTGGGCCCTTTCTTTAATTACATTTAAGATCATTTTGATACTGTGACAATTCTAATAATGAGCAGGCAGATTGTCATGGCAACAAAGATGGATGGAAGATAATGAGAGACTGTGAGTTTGCTGGCAATGAGATAATGACATTCAGAGGCTTGCAAGAGGTTCAGTTGTGACCGGTGCTGTCATAACAGCGAACTGCACTCCCACTGTAAATGAGAGAGCATGGCATCTGGAAACATCTTATGTCCACAGAGACCAAACCATACAATTGTAAAAGCATCGCTCAGTCTACCCTCCATATATGTCCCTATAAAGTTACTCAATGTGATTCTCAGTGAATATGTTTAACCTAGATACTGCTATGTTTTTCAGAATAAGTTATGGACCATGCTTAACTGCATCTTGGACCGGAGCTCTTACTTTGGTCATTAAGGACATGTCTGTCTGGATGATATTGGGGGGAATGCAAAACAAAGCAGGCACACCATGGTAAATTCACACCCTTAAACAGCCACTGCGCGATGTGCTGAGGTTAGACTGCATGCAGGCTTCCAATGGAACTACACCTGTCCAAACTCAGACCCTTAAGCTAAGAAGATTCCTTGGGTAGGTGGAAATGGTGAGCATCAAGCCACATCAACATTTGTGAAATCCTTGTTAGTTCACTACACTGTCAGTCAGTTTTAGATTCCTGTTTTATGCCACTCACACACACATTTGCAACTTCCTCACTTTGTGCTTCCTGACATCCCACCTTCTGCAAGCCGTCAACCATCAATGGACCCCTCTACCTTGTTCTCGCCTGTGTTTCTGAGGTCACTCATATAGTCAAAGTCAACATAACTCTATTTACTTTCTAAATGCACGATCCTGGTCTTATTGTGAACAATTCATTCATTGCACTTTACTTAGGCCACACAGGCTATTGCATAATGCTAACCAATAGCTATTCTGGTATTCAATGCCTATCTTCACCATATAGTCCCACTGTACATTTTTTCCTTGCATATCCTGTTTTGCCTGGAAATGCATCACATCATGGAAGTAAACCAGCAATTCATGTTGACTTCATGGCCTAAACTGTGTATCACCTTGCTGCAGATGACTGAAGCATGGAGATGTCCAAGAATGAGAATCACTCCACACCAAATCAGAACACACAGGCCCTTCCTTTTCTACTGGCTTAAGGCAGTGCCTCCCACATGGACACGGGTCCTTTTCTCAGTTTGAACTGGTTTGCTTGTGTGTTAGAAGCACTGAGGTCACCTCTCATGTTAAGGCACACAGGGCACTGCACATGATGAGGGCAGGTGAAGGAGGAAGGCTGTGCAGGAGCAGGAATGTATGAGTTCACACAGGCAGAAAGTGAATGGAAACATAAAAGGCCACAACAGCACAGAGCGGGAGCCCAGAGCAAGCACAGAGCAGGGGGTGAAACAGCCACTTCAGTCACTTCACTACATTCAACACAGCCCACAACACTCTTCAGCAGAGCACAGCCAAACATACAGATTTTTTTTTTTAAACTTCAATATAGTCATAGAAAAATCCACATATCTGTCATCATAGATTTCAACACTGTCTGTACCATTGAACATGAAATAAAAACATAAAATATTTATATTTATTTCTATTTATATATATATAACTGTACTAATGCATGACTCTCACTATGAGATTTTTTTCTTTATAGATACAAACTTTCCTCATGCTTACAATATACACATACCATACTATTATTTCATATACAGTTATTATTGTTTTCATATTATTTTACTACTCATTGCTCATAGTAGATAGAGATATTCCATGGACAGAGAGTTGAGCTTTATGTATTAAAACCCAACCTCTGCTCTCCACCCTCTGCTCTGTCTTTGATGTTTAAAGCCCTGGATGGCCTTCTGCCCAGTCCTGAGGTACATCAGCTCGGGTTTGTGCAAACCAACTCGGAGGGAGAGAGGAGAGATAGGTGTTTCATGGCGATGGGGAAAGGGGAGGAGAAAAGAGGGGTGAGAGGAGCCAGGGTTGAGGATTAGGAAGGGATAGGTGGGTATGTTGTTGGTCATTGTGCCCTTGTGCTCTCCCGGGGCCCTGAGGTTGTGTCACAGAGACACAGGCTGTGCTCTTCACTCCAGCATGGCATCCAGCTGGTCGGCCAGGTCATCGAACATGCTGCCGATGTCGTCTAGGATGCTCACTGTGCTCTTGTTTTCAGCCAATGAGCTGTGGATCAAAACACACACTTAAATATGATTTAGAAATGTAAAAAAACAAAATGGCTACAATGACACAAATAGATTTCTTTGGTCAACACATCCCCAGTGGTGAATTTAAGAGAAAGGTTCAAAAGCTTAAAAAAAAAAAAGATTTGCCCTTAATTATAACATTTGGTTACAGGCATTTTTAAAAATCTAAAATATTTAAATTACTATAGTATTCTGGTACCATCACTCGCTGTACTCAACCTGATGGTGAAAACATGCTTAAAGTCTTTGCTTCTTAATAACCACAGATGTGGGCTCAAAACTGCTGCCTTGATTTGAAGGACTTGCGACTAGAAAAACACTAGAAACTACTTGAAATTAAATGTTAATGTGAGACTAGATGCCATCATAGACTAGATTCTTACCGGTCTATAATGTCACTGAAAACAGTTTTTGCATATTTCATGACACTCACTCTTTTTGCCCATCCTCCTTGATCTTCTCTTCTACAGCCTGCAGGGCTGCAGCCAGTGAGGCACTGGTCTCCTCTATCTTCTGGTGCACTGCATCTACTGTCACTACCCCTGCGACAAACGCTGATCCAGTTGAACTGTCCATGGACACCCCACTGATTGAAGAGCGAGGGGGCTTCACAGGTGGGGGTGTAGGGATGGGGGTTGGGGGACCTGATGTCTGGGGAGTTTGGGGTGTCTGTGGGGTTTGGGGTGTCTGAGGTGTCTGTGGGGTGTGAGGAGACTGGGGTGTGTGTGGGGTCTGCACACTCAAGGCTGGTGGGGTTGTAGCCTTGACAGGGTGGTTGTTCTGGGCAGAAGCTGTGCTGGCCATTCTGGTGACAGTCTGCTTGGGAGTGGGATTAGGTGTCACATTTAAAGACTGCAGAACATTTTTGGATGGTTTGGGAGCTGTGGGAGGAGGTGTAGGTTTTGGTGAAATTGGAGGAGGTACTTTCTTTCCTTCAACTGTAAATAGAAGAGAAAAGAGATAGGGAAAGAGATGGGAGAAGAGACTGAGCGGATTTTGATGCAACAAGGTCTAAATGCTACAGGGTTTTACGGGATACTCACATAATTGTATAAAGACAGGGCAAGTGAAAGGGCCGCACTGTGTAGTACCTGGGCTGCCAGGTGCCCCAGTTGGTCCAGGAAATGGGGCTTTCTTGGTGATGGCAGGTGGTGGTCCTTGTTTCTTCATGTGCTGGGCCAGAACAGGTTTGGGGGACACCGGAGGTTTGACGGACTTACGAGGGGCACTCTCAGTAACATGGCCTTCCAGGTCTGCACTGTCCCGACGGGGTGAGTTCTCAGGATGTTCCTGTGGCCTGGGCTGTTCTGAAACAGTCACCTCTGACACAGGGCGCCTTTTAATGGTGCCAGTCCCATTCTCATATGGTACGGGCATCTGCCCATCCTGAAGTTCTTCTGTATCTTTGTCTTTGCTCTTGGGGCGGCGCTTAACCGTATTTGACTCTGTGAGATGGAACTTGGTGCCATTTGGTTGCTGCTTGGTGCTCTGGACCATCCTTTTCAGCGAGGCTGTGGCATCCACACGTGAAGGGTTCTCCTGGGGTAAAGAGTATGACATTTCTAGTCCCTCCTCAGTCTCATCTTTGCCCTGTCTAGGTCTTTGTTTGATGGTGATGTTTCCATCCTCAGCAAATGGAAGGTTCTCTGCTGAGCTCCCACTACAGCTTGGCTGGGTTTCATTGCGTTGTCTATCCTGGACTGGCTCCGGCTGTGGTCCTCGCTTGGCAGCTGCCACTAACTCAGTGACAGGCCCACTAATAGTCCTGCGACGGTTCACTACTTCTCCATCCAGTCCAATGGCATCACGCTGCTTTGCTCCTGCAGAACCCACCTGTAGAGAAACAATCTTGTTTTACTACACCAGATATTGCTAACAGATATTTTTTTATGATAAATACTAAGTATCATCCCAAAGACACAATGACAACCACCTTACCTGCAGATAGTGACCTGCAGATTTCTGCAAATGGAAACCCTTGGCACCCCCACCAATGGAGGACATTTCCAACATGGCCGCAATGCTCTTCACACTACCAGCACTGCCCGTGTCTACAGTGCCACCCAGGTCACTTGCACGTCTTTGTGGTTGGTAGTGAACCTCCAGAAGAGGTCCACTGCTTGTCTCCTTGGGCACTTCTGTCAGATTACTACTGGAGCTTGAGATGGCTGAACTAGAGCGTTTGGGGGGAGGTGGAGGAGGACCCTTCTTCTTCTGTCTGAGTGCAAAGGACTGGCTTCGGTTGACATTTTTGTCTGCCTGCCCTTTCATTGAGTTGCTGCGACCCACCCGGTGCTGTACTGTGGCATACTTTCCTCCTAAATCTGGCACATTTAGCTCATCCCGCTCCTGCTCACCATCAGACACAGCATAGCGATTCAGGCTGTGGGCACGTTTCTTAGGCAGACCATACTCATCGCAAGCTTCGTTGCCTTCTGGAGGCAGGCACAGGAGTGGTACTGAGACAGCAGGTCCTTGGGGTGCAGCTTCCATAGTTCCCACAGGCTGGGCAGCTGGGTGTGGATGGGACCTTTGAGTGGGGGATTGGGGGTGAGCACGAGGTGTCATGGGTTTTTCGGTCTGTTGAAGCAGCTGAGAACTAGGTTTTTGTTTACCCGGTGGGTTGCTCACCGTCTGTGAGGTGGGAGGTTTTGTTTTGGTGGGCGTTTGTGGTGGAGTATAGGGCGGTCCTGTACCTTGGGGATAAGACTGACGCGGTTTTGCCTGCGCCGATGAGACACTTCTCTGGCCACACTGGCTGCTCTGGCGCATGGTACGTGCCTCCTTTTTGGGTGGCCCACTAGGCTCCTCTGTGTCTCGGCTCTTGTTCATGCTGTTCTCATGCAGACTGCGGGCTCGGTGTTGTGCTCCCAGGCTGCTGTTGGTTCTCACTTCTGTGCCATCCTGCACATCAGCAGGGCGTGTAAGAGCAGCCTGTAACTCCCCACTCAGTTCACTGTCCTGGAAAGTGCTCATTTTAGGGGACATACACTCTCCGCTGTCGTGGGGTGGGCTCTCAATAGTCATCACCTCCTGAGCGGCTGGGGGCTTTTTACGCAATGTGTTGCGACCGTCAGAGGCCTTCTGGATCTCTGCCAGCTTCTTCACTGCAAGCATAATCTTCTTCTGGTGTCCTAGGCAAATTAGGTTAGAGAAAGAGAGTAAACCACTATGGCCTAGGCAGTTTGGAAAGAACAGAAGTTTGTGTGTGAAATCACTTTAACAATATGGATCCCAGTCCACTATCTATCTTACCAAGTTTTGTAATGCCAATCTCCTGAAGGTCCTCCCACGTGATGTCAGTGATAAAGTCAATGTTCTCGTATCCATTTTGGACTAAGACTTGGTGATATTGACTCAACCCAATCATAGCTAACCACTCTCCAAGATTCGCCTACAGATTAAATGCAAATAAAAACAAATTAACATCTGGATGTGTTTGAATGTATGTGTTTGTGTGTGTGTGTGTGTGTGTGTCTGTGTGTGTGTGTGTGGTTGTGTGTTAAACTCACCGGTTTTTTGTCAGGCAGCCACTCATTAACAGTGATCTTATTGATCTCTGAAGTTATCTTCTTTCGATGTCCTGGTTTGGTTACTCCAATAGCTGTTAAATCCTGAAAATAAATATAGGAGCCCCTAAACCAGCCAATCACATTTCAGCACCCAATGATCAAGAGCTTCATGCACACATACACACTAAACCAAGTGGCATATATTTTGTGCATTTGAACATATACACAAAAATGCACAATATTATATATACACAAAATTACATATACACATAAAAGATAAAACATCAGACATATTAAACACTCTGATTCCCAAAAGGTGCCAGGATGACAGAAGCAGATGCAAAATGAAAAAAAAAAAATGGGAAAGGGAAAAAAATAAAATAATATTGTAACAAGTGAGGAAAATAAGCCTTTTCAGAGTACCCCAAACATAACTAAATACACATATCCTAGTTGATCATGTCCTCAGTGTTTCAACAGTACACCCCTGTTAATTCTGCTTTCAGCAATGACACTATGTAAATCCTATGAAGTCAGTGGTTTAATGTAATTAAGTATGGGTAGATGAGCTTGCTTTCAGGAATTCAAATTGCTCAAAAAATTAATTTCAGGTTTAGTAACAATTTTGATTTAGTGACGGATTTACACTCCATAATATACATGAAATGACCGTTAATACTTCTACTACAAAATATGATATATGTTCATGAGATATATGTTTAAAATGCTTTCGAGTTTAATCATATACATAAAATTACATAGCTCACAACAGCATGTATATTAATCACAACATACGCTTAAGTAATTATGTGATTCATCAAGATACCAACATAACATAGTAGGAAAAGACAAACGCATTTGACAACCAAGACAGCAGCACTGTCTGGGGGGATTTTCTGGGTGAGATTTTCCAACTTGCCGTGGGCAAAATTCAAACTCTCATAAAACCTGTGTGCTTCTGGCACATTGGTAGCAATTTTATTTTAAATTTTGAGGAGAATTTGTTGGTTGATTCGCTTCTTTTCTGTGCTTTGAGTGGGTCTGTGGGTGTTACATTTAGGGTAGAGGGGAGTGACGTGAATAGTTTAGAGTGGCTTAAGGGGATGGGGGGGGGGCAACTCTTACCTCTGGGGTCATTCGGCTAATGGTAGGAATATCATAGCCGGCGCTGATGAAGTTTGGAGCGTAGACCTGCAGCTGAAATTCACTCAGCCATTCGATAACAGCCTCTGAGCTCTAGAAGAGAAGATAGGTGGCAGTCTATCATTGTTTGGGTCCTGTGGCTGAAAATGGACCAGACCCCAGGCCAACAAATTGAAAACATTAGTCTCAGTGACCAATGTCTCAACTTCACTAAACTTTATTAGTTCATAAATAATTAAAACCTGCCCCTACTTCTTTTTTTTGTATTATACTGGAGTTAAAATTATTACTCTTGGTCCAGGTACCTGCTCTAGCAACAAAAGCCAAAGCTTTAGCAAATAAGGGCTTTTCTTCATGAACCAAACAGTTCAGCTTAAAAAAAAAGTAGTGTCCATATATTATCTGCTTTGGAATGCCATTTCCCTGGAGGTAGGAGGATGTACTGTAACTCTATGTAGGAGAGGCAAAAATGGACGTGGGCAGCAAAGAAAATAGGGCTGTTTTGAACAGATGGCCCTCAGTCCAGAAGTCCAGCATGGAGCAGCTCTACTCAACAGCTCCAAAGTCCTGCTGGGGAAGATATAGTAGCCAAATTTCTCTGTTATATGACTAAACAGTGTAATTTCTAATTTCAGCTCATTATAAAAATGACATAAAAATGGCGAGTGTCAAATATGTATTACCAGTTTGCAACATACAAGCTCATTTATGGGATAAAGGTAATAACACCTACACAGTGTCATATTCATATTGTGTTGGTATACCTTTCTAGAAAATAGCAGCGTCATAGTCTCATATCCTCTACAGTTGTATCTGTTCTACAAGTCTCAGTGTGGACAGACTAAATCTTGATCATATGCCAATTACTATATAATTTAACTTAATAATTTTTGCATTTAGCAGACGCTTTTATCCAAAGCGACTTACAGTGCATTCAGGCTATACATTTTTTACCAGTATGTGTGTTCCCTGGGAATCTAACCCACGACCTTTTGCGCTGCTAACACAATGCTCTACCACTGAGCCACAGGAACTATATCACCTCTAAAATACACTCCAAATTCAAATCAAAAGTCTAAATTTTTGGGTACTCTCTGAAAAGAAATCAAAGGTGAAATTTACTGCAAATAAGGCAAAAAAAATTTGGAATGGACTTCAAAATGTAGCAAAGAAAATGAAATGAATGATCAGAAAAGATCAGAGAGAAAGGAATCGCTGCCAATATTAGACAGTAGTATCAGATAGAGCAGCTGACAAAAGCCTGAAGCTGAGGACAGCGTGCAAGGAAGCCTGCGGAGAAGCCCACTCACCGTGTCCTGACGACAACCGAGAGCACGTAATACTGATGATGCCAGCTGTGAGAGGAAGTCCTGGGAAAGCATCCTGGATGTGCAGATGCCAGTGCATGCATGCGTATGTGTGCGTAAAAAAGTGTATGCTTGTTTGAAGGAAAGGTAGGGGGACAGTGTGATTCAAGCGGGAGTAGGAGTCTCCTTACCTTCCCCTCAGGCAGCGCCTCCCCTTTCCTCTGGGACACCGCCTCCCCATACGGCTGCTCATGAAGTGGACAGCTTGATATACTCTGACTGCGTGAGGAGGGTCCTAGAAGAACCATGAGATCATTCATATACATCAGAGCACTGCTATTGCACAAACCAATCCCTTTTGTGTTTTCTGACCAAGTACTCCTCTTAGCCAATCAGATCTTTGTGATGCTCCCACCCACAGCTATTAGTGCAACCGTCTGGCACAGAAAAAGCAGCTAAGTCTCTAATTTGTGAAAAAAAAAAGGTAAAACATTTTGGATGGAGAAACTTCTTTGTGACAAAAGATTCTCGGTATGATTTCTTCTCAAAAGAGTTGTTTGAAATTCCCACTAACCCTTGTTGCTGGAAGCGTGAGAGGGGTGGTCCAAAGACTTGGTCTGCTCCAGCAGGTGTTCTTTAGCTTTGGCAGACTGGGACAAAACCGTGGCCAGAAGCTACAGGATAAACAAAGCTCATCAGATCAAGAAATGACATGAAAATATAATCAATGCTGACTATGCCAATTGGACTTAACACCCCCTTGTGTTCAACGTTGAAGAATGAAGCTTTACAAAAATGAGCAATGGAAAAATCCATTGCTCGTTTTTGTAAAGTTTCATTCCTCTGATGTGTAAATGTCCCTCCAGAAAATTTAGGTAAAATCAGCATCTCATGGTAGCTGTTTGAAGCTCATCATGTTATTGGTCAGTATCAGGGCAAAGCTGGCTTAGGTGGACTACCAGCTATTGGGGTTGAGGTCAACATTGTAGACCATCTTGATCAATCTGGTTAGGACTCGCAGAGACCAGCTTCTGATATTGTTGGTTCTACATGGGTTCTAGCTGGTCATTTAAGGTGATCAGCTGGTCCAGGCAAGTTTTGTTGGATTGCCAGCTTGTAGGATCAAAATCAAATTTCTGGATAATTTTGGTCAACCTTGCTAGGGCTTCTGATATTGGTTTTACTGGTTTTACATGTTACCCAACTTGCCATTTAAGGTGATTAGCTGGTCCTAGCAGGTTTAGTTGGACTGCCAGCTTGTGGGGTCAAGGTGGGCCTTGTAGACCATCGTAATTTGGTAGACCAGTTTCTGATATTGCTAGTTTTACATGGTTTCTAGCTGGCTGAAGCTGGTCATTTAAGGTGATTAGCTGTTCCTACTGGGTTTAGTTAGACTGTAAGCTTGTAGGGTCACGGTTGACCTTGTAGATCATCTAGGTCAACCTTATTACGGCTGGCAGAACAGCTTCTAAAAATAGCTGATTTAAAATGTTTTCTAACTTGTTCATGCTCATTATTTATGATTATTTAGGTCATTGGCTGATTTGGTTAAATTCTAAAACACAACTGAGCTGGTTGACATGACTGCTCATATTGGCGCATTGTGACCTGTTTTTTTACAGTCCTTTGAGATTGTAATAGACACAGTAATACTGGCAATAGAACAAAGACACTTCTAACCATTTAAACCAGCAACATATAAGACAGTTCTTTCAGGTATCTTCTCAAACCACATTGGAGTTGAGTCACTTTGCATGTCAGATAGCTTACCTTGACTCCCTCTGCCTGTGCATGAAGGATAGTGCTGCTGCCTGCACTCTGTCCACTACCAGAGGATCTGGCACTGGCCACGCTGCCTGAACTGCCCACACTGCTGCGGTCTCCACCTGGAACAACAAGCCCCCAGCAAACACACACACACAAACACCGTCAGCCCAGTCGGAAAACACCTCCCCGAAACCCTCCAATCACACCACTATGAACTTCCCCTCTGCAATGCACTGATCTGATACACGGGATGACAGAGACTTACATAACAATGGTGACCAAAGACCAGGTGACTGATGGACACAAGACATGTTACCAGAGTCACTAATACGAACACATTCAGGCCCACGCTGCCTTCACTGAAAATGCAGTTTGCACACACGGCTACAGACACATCTGTGGATTGTCTGTATGTGTGTTCTTGAGGGAACGACTTAACGGATGTTGCTCTAACAGAGCGAATGAGAGCCTTTCAATGCGCCTACACGCCTGCAGTTGAGGAGGTTTCTGAGGTCAGGCGTACAGCAGCTGCACCTGGAGCGTGGCAAAGCAGGGGGAATTATGAGAGAAGAAGAAGAGGAGGAGGAAGAAGGGGCAGCCCTGCTGTTACCTGCCACAGGCTTGCGCAGCACCCAGATCTCCTCGCTGCTGCCGCCCTGGGGACCACCAGCTGGGGTGGGTGAGCCATGTGGACTGGACTCTGAGCCGCGAGAACCTTTAACACAGAAACCACCATTAACTGTGCCCTGGCTTGGCCACCTGCCTGGGATCAGAAGTTTTCTGGACAGGTCAGGCATGGACAGCTAAACTATGTCTATGCGCTTTAGCAGTCTGCTTGACTACAACCCTCTCTTTCCCTTTCAAACACACACAAGGCAAGCACGCATATATATATACTGTATATCTAACACAAATATATATGAACATTTATATACAGAGGTACATGAAATATAAAAGAGTAAACATGTACTGTATATATGTGTATATACATATATATATGCCTTGGTTTACACATACACATTGGTAAAACATATATAATATATACAGATATATGATTATATATGTAAATAGGTATCACAACAAAAGGTGTCGCAGTGCATTACAGGAGCATAGTTCATTAGGATTCTAAAGCCATCAAACCACAAGTGTACATTAATGTGTTCATATACAAATAAAAATGCAATAACATCTTACGGCAGCTGTCTATAATCATTGAAGAGTCTTACAATTATTTTTAAAAATATATTGTTAAAGGGAAAGTTTACCCTAAAATTGTAACTCTGTCATCATTTATTCACCCTCATGTCTTTTTTGTGAACACAAAATAAGAATATTTTTTAAACTGTTTTTTTCCATACAATGAAAGTCACTGCCACCATATTTGATTTGGACCCCATTGACTCATTGGACCATTTTACAGAATCTTGTTTTGTGTTTCACAGAAGAAAGTCAGTCATATAGGTTTGAAATTACATGAGGGTGAATAATGATGACATTTTTCATTTCTGGGTAAATATTCCTTTAGGGTTTATTTCAAAATGACCAGGCCCAGACAGAATGTGCAGATTTGTTTTGCCATTTTACAGAAAACAATCAGCATGATTCTTCATAATGGATTTAAACATGGGGTTAAAGGGAACTGAAAGTACAAAACTTTTATTGGTAGCTGAAAGCATATTCAGATTGGCTGTGGTCACCATTCAAATTCTGTTCTGAGGGCACAGATTCCACGTGGGCCTGATGACTATTGATCATTTACAACTGAAACAGACATAAACATATTCAAATTTACGACGATCCAGAGTACATAAGAGTACCAACATGCTCCATACCAATATCAAAGTTTGGTTTGATACACAATCGCTGAAAGGATCAGAGTTAGTATATGAATGGACAGATCAGTACAGTTGAGACGAAGGAGAGATGAAACAGACAGATGTTCATTGACGGCACACACACAGACTGATGTTGTGCAGAGATGCAGGTATGGAGGGGTGAGAGGCTGGCTGTGCATTCCCTGTTGGTCACGTGTAAAAGAGAGAAAGACTGAAGGGGGCAGTGGAGCGAATCCCAGGTGTGGTCATCACAGAGAGGGAAAATGTAGCACCAAGATCAGGGAAATTTAGGGGTAAAAGAGGAGAGATAACAGCTTCAACAAAGAGAGGCCATGAACCTCTTTTGTGCTGGTTAAAAGAACTTACTAGCCAAATCTTGGTCATTCTTGGTCTCTAAAAAAAAAAATCAACACCCAAAATAATGTCAGAAAAAAAAAGAAACATAAATGAGGAAATAATAATTTTCAGAAAAATAAATTCAGAAAAATGTAAGGAATTATTGGAACTAATTGATTAGTTAATATTCAGACTATTAAAATGAGAACTACTGTAATTTAACACATTCCTTAAATCTTTGTGAATAATAATAATACAGTGGAGACAGATTAGGGGATCTGTACCTTGTCCACTGTGCGGCTCTCCTGGGGTGTTTGGGGACCTGTTATAGCCAAAGGAAGTGAAAAGTGGCAGATAAACATAAATGAGGAAATAATAATTTTCAGAAAAATAAATTCAGAAAAATTTAAGGAATTATTGGAACTAATTGATTAGTTAATATTCAGACTATTAAAATGAGAACTACTGTAATTTAACACATTCCTTAAATCTTTGTGAATAATAATAATACAGTGGAGACAGATTAGGGGATCTGTACCTTGTCCACTGTGCGGCTCTCCTGAGGTTTTTGGGGACCTGTTATAGCCAAAGGAAGTGAAAAGTGGCAGATGGGAATGTGGTGGCGGAGGTGGAGGAGGCGGCAGGATATGAATCTCATGATACGAGTCCCCATTCACCATGGCAATGGCGGGCGACACAGGGCCGCACACCGGCGCACAGAGCTGTATCTTTTGATACTGTTGGGTACAAGTGACTGTACTCCATGAACCTAGATACGACAACACAGCAACCACCACCACCACAACAAACAAAACAATTACACATAAGAGAGGGAAAGCAAATTAACTCAACACAAAAATCACAACCAATCACGAAATTCAAAACAGCAAAACCTGAATACTTTCCGTACCCACTGTATATATATGAAATAGAAGCGATGCGTGGAAATGCAAGGTTAGTGCATGAATTGGAGAGGAGCTGGTGCTTGTAGTGAAATGCAAAGTCTTTCTTTATACTTGTTTCTGTAAGTCCCTGAGGACAAACAGAATGATCTTCTCAAATGAGAAGTTTAGTATGCATGACTCTTTTCAGTTAGTCTGTGTGTGGGTGGGTGTGCGAGTGTGCAATTTGACTATTTATGATCACTGTGAGCACAGCAGGACTTAGTAGAGGGCTTGTCTGAATTGAGAACTGTCCTCCTTTCACTAATTACATAAATATAACAGACATTACTCCAGTTACAATATTTTTTTATAAAAACTGCAATTTCGGTAAATAAGGGACTATAAGAATGGATTTTAAATATTTTAAAAAGCACAATGGCATAAATAGCGGGGCAAAAACATGGATGGAGTGGAGGAGACCGAGCAGCAGATGCAGACACAGAAATGGATACTTAGTGAAGCATGAGACACAATGAACACATAGATTAGTTCCCTGCTGTCATTCCCAAACAAAGCCATAGACCGGACCTAAACCCACTGGATGGAAAGAGTGCACTTTATGGACTGTATAAATCTGCACGGGTGCACAGAAAAGTCTTCTGATGCCCAATGATTCTTCCTATGAGCGATACACTAAAAACATTTTTAAGGTCAGGTTTAACGGGTTCTCTTCTCTTCTCTTCTCTTCTCTTCT